TGAATTGTTGCTGCCACTTGACGATGATGAATGTGCGTCTTTTGAGCTGTGATCGAGGATCGGACATAAATGGTTTGATTTGTTGGCAGCTCCTCGCAACCGCCAACTCCTTCAGCTACCAGCTACTCGATATTTAAAGCAACTTTCACACTACCAACAGCAACAGCAACAACAACAACAACAATAACAACAATAACGAGAACAACACTCAATTTTATGTTGGGCGACAAGCCCTAAAAGGCCAAAACACGCGCACAGCCTAACAATACAGAGCCGTGCGAAGCCGTCAAGAACCCTAACCGAACCGAATCCAACGGAACTGAACTGAACTGAACTGAACGGGGGTCTAAGTATATGCTTTAGTATTTATTTGCGCTGCACAAATTTGGACACACGCTGCATACCAAAAAATGTGCACGTAAAAGGATACTTTTTGGTCCAGTCCAAGCCCAGTCCAGACCCGCCGTGCCCTCCCTCTGGGCAACCGACAACTGGGAACGAGGCAAACGCCAATAATTTATAAAGCGGACAATAAAATGTTATCAAAAAATACAACAAGAGGCGCACGCGGACAGCCTGAACTAAATGCCGCACGCCTGCGCAATGCTCAACAAGTTGTTTAATGGCTAGCCAGGGGGGAAAGCAGTTGGTCGGCCAGGGTGTGCCAAGGGGCAGGGGCGGAGCGCATTGGGATAAGAGTCAGACAGACAACGGCCTGGCAGCCCTATGTTGGGCGAGCAGCGAGAGCCCAGAGCTTCCTCTGAGTTGGTCGTCTCCAGCGTATGTTGATGATATATGAAATCATATAACAGCAATCGGCAGGCACACACAAGACACACAACACACACAGCACACACACACACACATGCACAGCTGCAGATGTGTGTAGTTTATTAAATGACAACCACTTGAAGCGCTTTATGCTGCTTTTGCTCTGGTGCTTTGGCCCAGAGCCCAATGGCTGGCTCACGCTTTATTTATGACACTTCAACAAGTTGCTTAGAGAATTTGCCACACTTTATTTATGGGTTCTGCTGAGAATTTCATTAAATAAATACGAAATAAGGGCAACTCTCTTGATCTTTCACAAAGATAAAGTTATTAAAAACGCATAAATAGACAAAACTTGCAGAAGTTCTTTGAGTTTATGTAATGTGTGTGTTTTTTTTTTGTTTGGTTTTTGGCCAATTTTTTGGTTTATTCAACAAATCAAAATAAATCAGATTTTGAAGTGAATCTAGAATATTTAAAGCTAAAAGCTAAGAGCATGCGCCTTCCATATCGTGTCTGAAAATATATAAATAAATCGATTAGAAATATACAGCGACAATGATAGGCAACCCATATATATGTATATGTATAGCGTATATGTATTTATATAGAAATTGATCATAAAATGTGCACGACACGTTTCGAAATTAAATCATTTTAGTTGAGCATTCGACGGTGGCTGAGCCTCGGTAGATCCGAGTCTCCCAGCCATACGAGACTAGGCCATAAAACGCTATGGCGATTGCGACATTTAAATGATTTTTATAACACTTCAACGTTTGTGTGTGTTCTTTTTTTTTCATTTTGTGTGTTTTAATCGATTTTTTTTACGGCGTGGCAAAATTTTAATGACATTCTCTATTGTATTTGGAATATGCAAAAAGGTTCAAATCGATTTCTGTGCATTTTTTCACTTCTTTAATGTATTTCTTTTGCCTTTCTGAGTTTTATTAAATTATATAAATGAGACCATAAAGTTCCAAATGGACGGTTATTGTTGCTGGCCAAAAAGCGTGTTAAAATTGGACTAATGGCTATTAATTTAGGCAGCAGCTCAGCTCCACTCGATGGCATGTGGAGTTTTCCATTCGGAATTGTAGTCAAATGAAATAGAGTTATTTGAGTCTGCCCACTAGATCTTTGGGTAATTGAATAATTGTGGCAGCGGCTGTTTAACTTTCTCCATTCAAAATTAAATCACTTTGTGCATACGTAGCTCCGCCTTTTGGTTGCCAGATAAGATCAAGATCGGCCCGGTAGGCTGGCACCTTAGCGGCGCCTTAAACGAACAGCAATTTGGCCGTTTGTCGAGTCTATCGGGCCGACACATTTGCGTGCCAATGGCGTAATTTACCACTTAACATATCAATTGTGCGGCTATTAATCAAACAAGCCGAGCTTTAAGAGATTCGTGGCGATACCAAGTCCAGAGCCGGCCGAGCAGCGCCGGGTCCAGCAGTTTTGTTGCCTGCTTTGATTTGTACGCATCGCTTGTCAAACAACTGAAACAATAGGCGTGGGGCGGGCACAGGGAAAGAGTAAAATAATATAAAATCAAATAAAGAAAAAAAAAATAACAAAACAAAGCCAACTGGCATAAAAACACTTTTGCCTCATATCGTAAATGTCCATCAAATCATATTGAGAGCATAAAAAGTAGAATTTTTTAACACCTTTTTTGTATGGCCATCTCCACTCGAGTTGCTACATTGTGCGGCGCTTGCCACAGTAGCCCCTCCCCGCCCTCTTGACGACTCATTGGCAGTTAGACATCGACATCGACATCGACATCGACATGGAGCTGCCCGAGCTGTGGCCAGTTGATAAACGTCTGCTTCTTGGCATTCCTCAATCCTCAATCCTTCAACTCGATCTCGAGCAGCAACTATTTCATTCAGCTTGTCAAAAGACGGCGTCTAATTGCTTTTGTCTGCTCCACAAAGGTGCGCAACATCATTTGTAACGCACTCCAAGCACAGCAACAAAATCCAAAGTATAACAACTCAATAAACGAAACTCTGTTTCAATTCTACTCCACGGCGTGCCACTCCAAAAAACACTTAAGCGCCAAATCTTTGATCTTTTGAATAACTGACCCCACTTGACTGCCACAAGCCTTGTCTGTTTGCCCGAAAATCGAGTCATACTGCATTATATTCATCTATGTTTTGATCTACAGAGGTCTAAAATTTATGTTAAGAACTTGATTACAAGTTAGAATCAAAACTAAATCAATTGTTTCGAATTGTTAAGCACAAACTGCCTAAAAGTAGGCAAAGCAGATGCATACAAATTGTTGCTTGGTTTCGTTTAAGCTTCGATTTGTGGATTTCCAGATTCGAGCTCGATCGGTGAACTATATTTATTATTGCATATAGCTAAACGTAATTGATTTTTGTTAGAAATACAAATACAAAAAATTGAGACTCAATTTGAAACGTGCAACAAATTAACCCAATACATATATCTAGTATACTATTTTAATATACACATTAAAAGTTCATTAAGCTCCAACTTATTTGTCATCCAGATTATATTTTTGTATAAAAAGCGTTGAGAGTCGCTTTCAAGCTGACTTCTTTCGAAAAACCATGAATAACCGCGCTCGGCTGTGGCAGCTCTTAATGCTGACTCTACTGGCACTTGGTCAGGCTAAGGTAGGCAATTAACATACTTTCCGATTAAGTTAAACATTCTCCATTTTTCACTTTCGCTTTAATCACAAAGCGTCCTTTTACTGTGGCGCTCAAGAACTTCAGCTGTGTGGCCCTTGTGCCTGCCATTACGAACGAGTTCAGCTGCATTTTCAATGGAAAACGCAACGATCCTTCCATGAGTGTGCGCTTCAAGCTTAACGAGGCAGTCAAACAGTTTAGTGTCCTGGTGGATTTCGATATTCTGAAAAGGGATAACACCAAAATAAGCGTAGCACACATCAAACTCGATGGCTGCCAGTACTTAAGGTCCGCTTTTAAAAACAACTTTTATGGCAAGATATTCACCAGGCTGCAGAAACTGAGCAATTTATCCAAAAATTGCCCGGTTCAGGCCGTAAGTAGTGTTATTTCCTCATCACAAAAAATAACAAATTAAATTACTTGCCTTATAGAACAAAATCTTTGAGATACGCAACTATACAATTACACTGGACAAAATTCCTGTCGCAATGCCCGCCTTAACATACCACGTGCGATTAAAAATATTGAAATTTGATCAGCTAATTGGCGATGTCTTCATTGAGGCAGCTGTTCTAAATTAAAAGGAGTCCGATCAATTATACGCTCTTTATTCCTGTCTAGAGTATCGATTCAAATACAAATATTGCAATTTGTTTTAAAGTGCATTTCTCTCTACACAGAGAGTATTATGAAATGTGCAACGTATAGGAGAATTCATCGCCAAACCCATAAAGTATATGAAAATTAGAGATCAGCATCAACTGCAAAGTTGACTCTAGTCTCACATAGTACTACACTAGAAGATATTCGTATTCTATATATGCTCCCTGAGAATTAGCTCACCTAATTCTTTTCGAAAAGAGACCATATTTGATCACAAAGAAGTTTCATTACGATTTAATAGCCTTTGGACTTTTACTCTTTGTTATTGGGCTCAGGAAATTAACTCAAAATAGTCCAACAATTTATGCTACTGCGATATATCGTATAATACAATATTAATAATATAAATACGGCTGGATGACTGCAAGTATCTGAGTTCCTTCTAGAGCAATAGATATGGGAAGTGTTACAAAAATGATCAGTGCCTCGGAACTTGGCCAAAGGATATCCCTGTTTAAATTGAGGTTGTGGCGCGCAATGTTGCAGAAATTTCCCTTAGTGTTGCAAAACGATTTTTGTATGAAATGCTGGCCTTTAATATATTGAAAATTAAATGCACAAATTGCGCCTTAAAGTCTTAACCCAACCAATCCAATAAATATTTCTGATTGAAACCGGGATCGTAGCCATATTTAACTCCTTTGAAATTCTCTGTAGCTAGCGGATGGGGTGGACTTAAAAGCTTTCTCACAATTTCGTTCCCACATTGGACTTAACCCTTGTTTTGTTAAAAAAAAAAAAAAAACGGAACTAACGATACGACAAATGTTAATGATGCATTAAACAATTAATTTCGTTGCTTATCAATATAGATATTAAATATACATTACATTCATTATAATTTTGCTCTATTAGAATGAGTTTAATTTAGTTGTTGTCTTTTTTTAGATTTCCCATTCCATAAAACCGGCTGCGTTAAGCTGTTTAAACGGAGTCTTTGTGCCAAACACTATGGATTATCGCGCTTGGCAGTGGCCGCTCGTATTTCTCACACTGTGGAGCCTTGCTCAAGCCAAGGTGGGCATCGGATTTGAGATATATTATATCATTGGGGACTATATTTAATAGTTTCCCTTTACTGCCACAGCGACCCTTTAAAGTTGAGCTGCACAACTTTACCTGTAGTATTTTTGATCCCACAATTGGAAAAGAACTAACCTGTATCCTGCATCGGAAGCGCGATGCTCCCACCGTATCTGTGCTTTTCAGTCTATACGAAACCCAGAATGAGTTCAGCATTGGCTTTCAAATGGATCTGCTCAAAAAGGATAATACCAAGATGAACATAGCAAACAATAAACTCGATGGCTGCAAGTTTCTGGGCTCCATTTACGGCAACAATATTTACAGAAAGTTCTTTAAACGTATTCAAAGCGTCAGCAATTTACCCAAAAATTGTCCAATTCGCGGCGTAAGTACAAATTGCTTTTTAATTAGATAATATATTGTAATACCCTAGTTTTAATAATAGAAGCAGCTCTATGCAATACGCAACTATACAATGCTTGCTGATGAGCTGCCACCAAATTTGCCCGCATTGACATATCAGCTACGACTGAAAATAATAAAAGCTGATCATGTTGTTGCCGATGTCCTTGTTGTCGGCAAAATCATCCATTGAAATGTGCTTCTTCTTAACATTTTTTTAATAACAGACATGCATATAGTCTTACAAAAACAAACGCTATGCATAATAAAGAACTGACGCAGGTTTCTTGACTAGATTTGAACGGCTTAGCATTTGTCAGAATGTTCAGAATTGCTGGACAAGAGTGTCCGACTAGCAAATGCCCTGTCGTAACCCCTCCTAAAAGTCTAGGGGGGAAGTAGTTAAAGTCTGTCAGATGGATATGGCTGGATCGTCTTAACTGTTGAATCCGAATAATAGTATATGTATTTCTTTATAGAGTACAAATTGTCTGCTAATGCGCGAGTTAAAGTCAGTCACCCATTTTCCTTATGTACAGGGTGTTCAAATTACGCGCAAGTAAGATTAGGTATAAGTCACGCAGCCTACAAGTGTGCAACGCTTTTTATTGCTGCGGCGAATGAATCTGTGTACGTTGAGGCTGTGGCGCGGCGAATTGTAGAAGGAATTTTTGCAGTGTTGTAAAGCGCATACGTTCGTTTGCCCTTAACCGCAACTGTGAAACGGGTAACGTTGCCCATAGCAATCAGCTTTTCAGCATAGTTTAAGGTGGCGCTAAATTTGAAATTAAAAAAAGTTTTACAAGCAGCAAAATTTATTGGAGAAATTGTTTTTTTTTGTTTTTGAGTGTACTATAGAACAAATAAACATTCAGTTCTAGAGCCTAAACTTTTTAAAATTAGTACAGATCACCAGGAACAACAACTATTGTAACACTTCAAGTTATATTTAAATAATTAATTTTAAAAGCTTGTACATAAGAGACTACAAAAGCGCACCCAAAAAATATAACACATCCATTTTTGGCCATATTTATGCATGTATATGTATAGTATATATATATATATATATTTCAATTTCAATTGCAATTTCGATGCTTTGCCAGAATCGCATTTTTTTTTTTTGAAAGCAACAACATTCGTAAAATGCTTTTAATTTTATTGTTTAGGTATGTTTGTTTGTTTTTATCTTTAGTTTAGGAATAGAAATTCGCAATGTATATTATATACATTATGTATGCGCACATATTTTGTTAAAAACAATAAAGTAACAAATGTCTTTGGGATTACATACAATAGTTTATATTTGCCATACCCCATGCATGCATGTATATTTATATATGTATATGTATTTATATATATATGTTTATTTGTATTTGTATATGCATATGCTGTTTATTATTATCATATTTATATTAGCCACATTTCATAGAAGTAAGCATTACTATCTGTACAAGAATTGTATTTTTGAGAAAGAGGGACTTTTATATGGCCTGCGAGGTTTCGCCATCCTCCAAAATTATGCTGCACGGAATAGAATTTATAAAAATATAATTAAAATATGTAAAGTGTGTTAACTTACAGGCGTTTTCTCAACGATTTTCGCTTTCTGCGCAGCTTTTTGTATGTAAATTTGCTCGGTGAGATTTTATAGTCTTCATCGAATTCCAATTCGAGTTTAATTAGATTTTGCAAATTCAATTGGCAGTCCTGCAAAGAAATATTAATTAATTGTCACCACAAAGAGATATGTTATATTCGAATATACCTCGATATTTTTGAAATGCCAACGCGAATTGCTTGGCGAGCCGCCGTCCCTGGACAACTGGCTAAGACAGGTGCGCATTGAGGGCCAGCATTGGCAGCGTTTATTGGTTATCTCGCAGCCCGGCTCTAAGACAATGGACTCGTTCTGCGTGCAGTTGCTAAGCTGATTAAATGTCAGTGCTGTCAGGTGTTGCAAATCTGGCGGAAGGAAAGCAACAACAATTGATTATGGGCCATGTATTAGATGTGTATATTTAGGCTAAAATAGAAATATGCAAAAGCGCAGCTTATTCAGTTTTAACCTAATTTCCAATTTTCCAATTTAATTAACTTTATTTGCTTATAGAATTTTCTATATTCTCTATTCTGCGCTTAATCATGGATTATCGCTTAGTATATTTAATGGTAGCTGGTAAATGGAATGTTAAACCCGTTTCGTATTTGCATATTGGAATTAGCTATTCATATTTATTTATGAGTTAATATTTGCACTCGCTGCTTACCCATGCACACGCCCAAGCCGCTGCTAATGGGCAATTTGGTGACACACTGAAGGGGCGGCTCGCATTGGCCGGAAAAGCCGCCGGGTCCGCCGCAGGATTCGCCGAGAGTTTTGGCGCAAATGCGACAGCATCTGTACATTGAATATAGAATTAGAGCAAACACACATACGTATGCGAATACGAATCGAATCGCATAAAATGAATGATATTTATGTGGAGTCGAGTGTAACTTACTGGCAGGGATCCCAGAGCATTAGGCCCTTGCCGGGGCAGTCTAGGGCGCGTATGACATCGCATTCCTTGGGATTGCAGTAGCATTTGAGTCCATTTACCACATTGTTGCTGCCAGCTGCTGCCATTATCAGCAGCAGATAGCAGCACAAATAGATGAGATAGATCCGTACGCTTAAACGACCAAAATAACTTCCGTTTCCTCGCATCCTATGCGGAAGTTTCGCTTTGTTGTTGTTCTGTTTGACTGACGTTCCGGTTGCTGATGCTGATGCTGCTCCTACTCCTCCTCCAACTCCTACTGCTGTTGTTGTCCTTCTTTTTGCTGCTGTCCTTGTGCGTACGACTATATTCATGCCATTGGCATTGAGTACACCCACGCCCACAGTCGCTGGCGCAGGCCCAACTCCCTTAGGTTCTGCCCTTCCGCCCATTTATAGGCAATTTTTATTGTGTTCCTGGCTTCGGTTCGGTCTGTTTGGTTTGTTCCGTAGCTCGCCCAGCAATTTGCATGTTGACTGCAAACCAAAGCGTTGTTAAATGATTAAAATGCCATAAACTATGCCACGCCCAGTGGCCAAGGGGCTTTAATGGGCTTTTATGTAACTGCCGCATGAATTTCGGAAAATGACATTCAGCCTAATTTTACCGCATTACGGCACCAGGCCTAACCCTACCTCCTGCCCCGCCCCGCCCCGCCACGCCTACACTGCATGGAAAACTGTTTCTGTTTCAATTGCTATTTTTGTTTTTCATAGCATACTTTTGTGGCGCATATTTAATTGGGCTACATTCTATTTCGAATGCAAACCCCTTCTATCTGCCAGTTCAACCAATTAATTGTGTATAATAAAATTAAATATCAGCTTAGTGCATGCGTGTATTGAATATGCAAGCAATTTAATTGTTGCACAACTTAATTAATATTTACTTATCCATAACCGAATTATAAACTGACGCCTGACTAAAGCGGTTCCGAGAATCTCTCACAATACTCCAGTTAACTGCATAAAGCATACTTTTAGGCAGGCGTTTCATGATTTTGTGTATTTATTTGTTTGCTTAAAAAAACACACAGTCAGGCCAGAGTTCAAAAATGGAAAAGAGTTTGGGCATATTCAAGAGAGTGAGAGACAGTCTCAAGTTCACAGAGTTCGCCTTAAATCGCATATGATTCTTTTATCTGAGAACTGCGAAAGGGAGAAAGGTAATTGAATATGACTACTTAAAGAGAATTGGGAATGTCTTGAGTTGGTAAATCCGTTGAAAGCACATAAATATATTAAAACAGCCATTGCTGTCTTTATTTCATTCCGATTAAAGTCTAACGTTAATAGATAACCTATATTATCTTCTTTGTTCTCTTTTTGTTCTGTTTTTGTTCGGCTTGTCTGTTTAAATACAGTTCTTAATTATGTCTTATTATATGTTGATTCATATTGCAAAAAATCAAATATTTAAATGTTTTTGATCTGTCTGTCTGTAAGCCGGAAACCCTAAGCTCAGAGTCTATCACATGTTTATAGCTCTTATTATATTGTGTACAGATTATGGCGGTTGCACAGGTTCTTGTTATTATTATCATCAGCTTTTGATGTCCGCAAATCTCTGACAACTAAATAAAAAAAGGATTAAAGCAAACCTGACGTCGCGAAATCTCCTTCTAAGCCCAACAACATCATGTAACCAGCTTAAAGTCTGCATACAACGATTAGCTAACAGATTAAATAGATGACATAAAAATAAAAAGAATTTCTCTCATAAATAAATCCATAGACAGCCGTTTGTCATTTTCTATATGGAATTTGATATTAGTTTTGACCCGATTCTTAAAATTGTATCATATTTCAAATGATGAGCATAATACTATTTTGATAAACATGCTGCGCATATCCCATGCTTCCTTATTGGATAATCTGATTTTGCAGCGCATATCTGTTAATTTAATATGCCGTCAAAATTTGACATGCAGTTTGAAATCAATTACGCAAAATGCCATTAAAAAATATTCATCATGTCCAGGCAGTGAATGCAATTTTCGTTGAATTCAATTAATTCCATGCGAATAAATTACTGAAATTTCATTTAATTTACACATGAGAAATATTGTGGCATTGTTGTGGCGAATGCGGAACACACGCACACACACACTCGTATACACCCACACACACACACACAGACACACACACACACACACACACACTCGGGCACACACACACTTTAAGCTATGAGCCTGAAACGAAAATATAAACTTTTTTGTTATGCAAAATTAACTCAGAATTGATGCTAGTCAAAACTTTTGCGGTTATAAAATGTTTTTATTTTATTACAAACAAGAGGTAAACTTCAATAACATTTCTCAGTCTCTCAGTGTGTGTGTGTGTGTGTGTGTGGACCAACTTATCTTAAAGAGCAGAAAGAAACTTGCAAAATGATAGCAATTTACGCGCGCCGCAAAGTATGCCATGCGAAAAGTTGTCGCAATTCAAGCGAAACGGTAAGCGGGAATATGGCACAAAAACTAATTTGTAGTTAAACAATTCAAAGATACTTGAGTTCGTTTCACGAACAGGCGATGCCAGGCGCGATTTCGAGATAGGGTTTGGGGGCAGGACAACCGAATCGAATGGCCAAATAATCAAGATATCCTCTTTGTGTGACATGGTTTATATACTAAGCACACACATATATCTATATAGTGTTGTATATTTATTTGTGTATGTTGTGTATTGAGAGCGAAACACTTGTGTATTTGTATTGCCTTTGACCGCAAACTCTCACACACACACACACACTTGTCCCATATATTGTTATTTCTGCTACGTTCGTTTGTCAAGCACTTTTCGATTTGCCATTCAATTTGAATGGCAGCTTTTTGAGTGTCTGCATTTTCAAATTTCTCTTTTATTTTTATGGAAACTACACAAACTGAAAGTCAAGTATTTGGTTAGCCACTTGTCCACATACTCGATATACGCACACACACACACACACACACACGCACACACACTAGCACACACACACCTTGGCTCGCAGCACCTAACGACGTGCTTTTCTGTTGTACTAGGTCTCAGTAGGGCTCTAGGTTTTGGGTATTCGAAAGCCGTTCATTGGCCGCTCAACGTTCGATTCAGACAACAGCGACGATGTTGCTGACGATGATGATGATAATGATGTTGTGTTGATAATAATGACGCACTTTTGTCTCATGAATTTTTCATGCGCTTTTGTCTGCCACACGCGGCCATTTGAGGCAGTCGACTGACTAACCGAATTGAACACCTTTTGCCAGTTGGTCCTGCTGACAGGGAAAACCA